ACCTCTTAAACCTAGGAGAGTTGGCTCGGCGTTCACTGTAATAAAGGATCGATTAACAACATGTAAGAGCGTTGGCGTCGACGTATCACTGATCAGTAGACGAGTGATGCGAACGAAATAATTGGTGGCTCGTATACCTAAGAAAAATTCGAGAGCTCTTTAGCTTCTTCTATAGGCATTCATTCAACAAACCACCAGGACTGCGGCAGGTACGTTTCTCGTATTTTCGACGCATAACCACCACCGTACAAATGAAGCGGCATGCGCGCATTGAAACCTGCAAGAAAGAAGCCTTCTTTGTGCTCAAAGTATGCAGTGATTGTGCCAGCCTCTTGCATCACCGGTACACATGACTTATGTCTGTGAGCGCTGAGAAGAATGTGAACATAAAAAATCACAGCATATCCACGGAATGAACAATGATGAGTGGGACAAGCGTCCGTCAAATCGTCCGTCTGAACCATTCGCGCGTCTATCCGTGCGTCCGTCCGTCCGTGTGTGTGTGTGTCTATCAGTCTGTTTGTCTGTTCATCCGTCTGTTCATCCGCGCGTCCATCCGCGCGTCCGTCCGTCCATCTAGTGAACACTTCAAGTACAGCCATCTCGCTTCTATTTATCATATATTCATCATATACAAGTAACGCCATCCAGCAGACAATCCAAGGACTAAACAAGAGTTTCTACCACATTTCTGTTGTCAGCGCTTTGTTAACACCGAGAGTGGGATAACGACGCCGTGTTACGTTTATCGTAACATGTAGACATGCGGATATGTGCCCGAGGGCGCGTATGTGCCACTGGTATGCGGGTATGTGCCATAGGTTACGCACTACGACAACGGGGGACGTACAAGCCACTTCTTAAGGATCTTCGCCTCTAAAAACGTTTATCACCATCGTCCGCTATTTGTTGAACAGCTTCCTCTAGGCAGCTACTTAACAGAAACCAACGAAAAACTGTGCAAGCAAAAAAGTTCATCTCATCGTCCGCCATTCGTTTCCATCAACTCGTAAAGACCATGCGCGTAGCTTTGATTTGTAAAGCATTCAGATCGGGGTGATATGGACCAGCGTTTCTTTACTCCTGAGAGCACATCACGAGTACGGTCGGTCCTATTTCCACTGGAGCTTATGTGTACATCGCCATATTTAATCTCTTGACCACTTGCAGAACACCCGTCCTTTGGAGCTTCCAATTCGTTCGATCGGCTTGGAGACACCGCGGCCAAGAAAACGCATCTCCTAGCGGCGTGATCAGTGTTTCTTCTTCGTGCGATGGCGTCTTTCCTGGCCGCCCTGCCGTACTGCTCTTAAAGGTTGGGTCACAATACGGAATGGATGAACTTGGCTGTATGACGGGTGCTATACACCTTCGCGCAGCGGCTTCGCCAACGCGAAGACATTTTTCGGGCTCAATACTGTACTTCCTCTTCTTCTCCGAAAGAGGTCTCCCGTGGTGGGCCGGGGCTTCTCTAAGCTACCCTGAGCCTCACCGGAATGGCAATGCGTGCGACAAGCCTGCTTGACCTGCGCATTAGCCACCAGTTGTCCAGTTGACGCGACTTTGCACCGGGAGATTACGCACACACATGATATTATATATATATATATATATATATATATATATATATATATATATATATATATATATTTATATATATATATATTATATATATATATATATATATGCTAATTATAAAGCGGTCCTTTGTTTTTTTTTATTTCTTTCTCTTATGCGAACATGCATTGCGTACTAGAGAAAGTAAAATATATAAATAAAAAGTAAAAACTAAAGGAAGAGAAAAAAAAGACATTCAAGCTGTAGTTTTGGCACATTCTCAAAGCATCTTGTCGTATTAAGCATAAGGCGGAGGAAGGAGTGTTGCGAAGAAAAAACATTGCGTTAAGTAAACTCGCTTATTTTAACTGTTCGTGTAAGGCCGTAGACACCAGAAAGACCGATCTCTTTCCTTCAAAAACAGAAGCAAAACAACAATAACAAAGCCGTCAGACATGAGTGGCGTACGTTGCTGAATATAGTTTATACTTTATCTCTCTTCTTTTTTTTTTTCGATCATCAACTTTCTCTTGTTGGCGCGATCTATAGCTAGGCCTTCGCTGCTCGGTTCGTGCGGGCAACTGACGATCATACATGGTCCTCTTCCATGGACTGCATGAATAAGCTGTCATGGCAAGTGTGGCTTAATCGATTCAATCAATCAATTAATCGTTCAATTAATTTATTCCACCCTGGTAGTGAGCACACGAGACGGCAACTGTATAGAGAGAATGTGCTGTACACCACAAACCCAATGTCTCTTCGTCGCCACCTAGCGGCGTGAAAGACGACGCTCCCGTTTTGAGACGTATACATATACACGCCTAAAAGCGCCGCTTCGCATCTGTACAGAGCTGTGGGTTCAGATTATCTCCCATCTGTTGTCTTCCTGGCCAGCTCCTTATCTAACCACATTTCTCCGTTTCTTATAGCTCACGTGCCGCAACCAACTCCGCAAAAGCGACCTTTTTAAAAGTTTTTGTTTTTCATTCTGTTCAGTCCCCGCTTCTTATTTATTTCCTGGCTTTTTTTTTTCCGGAGCCAGCCGTTGTTATACACACACCCAGCAAGCCCGGGGGCAGCCGAGTTCCCGTCCCTGCGGCGTTATAGGCTCCTCGAATAATGGCCAATTGGCCGCCGTAAATCTTGGGGCCAACTGTAGGCGCTGAAAACGTGCCTGCCATCGCAAAGCAGGCAGGCTTGGCAGGCAACCTGGCAGCGCGGGTCCAACGAGCCGGCGTTTTCAGTGCTCCTGACGTGTACGTACACACGTGCGCGGGTCTTGACGCAGATACACCGCTCGGCTTCTCTCTTTTTCATCTCCATAGCACCAATTTCTTTCTTTTTTGTGCGTGTTCCACGGTTGCGGTTCGATGGTCAGTTCCGGGCTCCTCCGATCGGTTCGACCTCAACATCTCGCGCCATCGTTGTTAGCGAACCTCCCCCCCCCCCCCCCCCCCCCACGTGCGAACGCAGGCGAATGGGCCGAGCTCTTGTTCATTTAACCTGACACCACATTAGCGGGTGCGGCGCCAAGGTGTGCAGCAGTGATGATTGAGGTGATGACGGTGTGCGAAAAGGCCCAGTAGGTAAGGCAGTCCCTGGTCAAACATCGCTCGACTCAGAAATGATGCATGTGCGCCTTTGCGATGAGCTAAATGTTGCTTATCGATCGTACGTAAAAACCGCTGGCGATCACCTGCAGTGGCAGGAGGGGAAGGGGGGGGGGCGTGTGCGTCTGTTCACCCCCCTCCCACCCGCCAAGTTATTTCTCAGTTTTGATTGTGAATGCACACGCACGCAGACATACAAACGAACATACAATAGTTGCGGTATTTTTTTCTTTTGTCCTTCAATGCAAGCACACGAACTAACATAAATAACGGGTAAACGAACGCCCTCCCCCCCCCCCCCACCAAAGAATAAAACACGCCGACTACGCCTCTGACAGTAAGTGCTGAATATTAAATCCATAGTGTGTATGATCATAGCTTGCTATATGAACGTGTCTGTGATGCATGTATCAAGTGCTGATACCTGTATCAACACGATAGATAAATTGAGAGAAATGGAAGAATTGAAAGGAAGGCAGGGTGCTTAACAAACTTCGTTTGCATACGAAATGAACGTCGTGTCCCGCGGTAGTGTCCAACGTTGTCAAACGGTTTAAGGACGTTTCTTCGTCAGGGTGAAGAGACAGCTTTTATGAAATCGTTTACGTTGGCGACGGGTATTCGCACGCCTTCCATCTATATCAGAGTACACTTTAGTTTGAGTATATGCGAGATGCAGAGGGCACAGTATACAGTTGAAACAACGTAGCGCTGTTGCAAATGAGACTCAAGTCGTATGCAACAGTTCATCTGGCACAGGCTCGTTTCGGTAGCTGGCGTGTCAGCACCTATTTTGTTTTGCTTCCCCGATCGCCCCGAAAGGTGATAAGCCGACAGAAACACCGGTTACACGAGTGTATTCCCGTACAACCGCGGCGGTGGTGGCATTGAGGAAGCCGATCTGGCGCACGGCCGAGTCGCCCTAACAGTGATGGATCGGATGATTGCCGATGGTAATAGCAGTCGGCTGTCTCACCTCCGAGCAAATTGAAAACGCTTTCCCCACCGCTGACCTGCCTCGTGCAAACGATAAGAGTCTATAACAAACGAGCTACCGCCGTGCGAATATGCATATTCACCCAGAGAAGTTGCGTTAAACGTGGATCTGGTGGCTCGCGCAATCCTGACGGTAGGTAAGGGCTATAATGAAAGTACACTGACGTTGACGTGTGAACGGAACTAACACTTTGGCTTGAGCTTGATGTAATAGATCATGTAGGAAACGCGCACACGATTTAGGACTCGGTGCTACGGGAACGTAATTATAGTTCAGACGTGGTGACCTGCCAAGAAAGCTTTATTTAACCCAGCTTTAGCCCCTGCTTCCCCAGGTGTTCGTATTCAACATACATTTTTCGTTGTGTGTGTGTGTGTGTGTGTGTGTGTGTGTGTGTGTGTGTGTGTGTGTGTGTGTGTGTGTGTGTGTGTGTGTGTGTGTGTGTGTGTGTGTGTGTGTGTGTGTGTGTGTGTGTGTGTTTGTAGCCGCTGGTTCAAGCATGAACTTGCATTTTAAGGCCGACATTCTGGCCTTTATTAGGACTGCCATACTCGAATTCAAAACATGCGCCCCTGTTGCTGTCACGGGCAGTTTGAAGGAAGCTTTACTTCTTGTCGATGATGCAACCACGTTACCTCCTTTTTCTATTTTTACTCGTGCCTTCTTTGATTCCCCTTTCCATTCCTTGTACATATCTATGGAGACGTATCCAAAGCAAAGGACAGTAAAGGCGGAACACTTCCATCATCTGTACTGTTCTTTAAATACTATTTGCACGCACGACTGCTCACACAAAAGGTCACTCTCCCCTTTTTTTGCTTCTACCCTCGCAGCTCGTGTGCCGAGCAGCCAGGTGTGCCGGCCGCACTTCCACAGTCCGCTGCACCCGTGGATCTCGGACACGGCCAAGGCAGCCGCGGCTGCGGCCATGGTGCCGCACCATGGTGCGGCCGCCTGGTGCTCCCCGTTCCCGCCGGCCAAGCCGCAGCCCAGTCCGCCCACGGCGCCCTCGCACTCTAGTCCGCACCTGTTCAGCTTCCCGCCCACGCCACCCAAGGACGCCACGCCGGACCCGGCCGCGGCCGAGGCGCCGGGCTACGCCACGGCCGCCTCCGGAGGCTGCGGCGACGACCACAAGCCCGGCATGCTCACCTCCCTGGCGGTCTCGTCCTCCTGCGGCGGAGCGGGCAAGCGCGAAGGTAGCGGACCCTTCCCCGCATCCTCGCCCCCTTACCCCAACCCGTACGTGTCCCACCCGGGTGCCCCGCCGTCCGAACTGGCAGGCTACCACAGCTTCCACGCCGCACCCCTGCAGCTGGCCGCGGCTAGCGCGGTAGCCGTCAAGCAGCACTCGTCCTCTTCGTCCAACGCGCTTCAGGGACCCAACGGCTACGGCCAGCCCAACAAGCCGCGAACCAAGGGACGCTCCAGTGCCGGTAAGGTGAACGCCAGCTGCTACGCGGCACGGCCCGGCGAGGAATGACGATGCACGCACCGCACTTTGCCACCTCACACTACTAACAAGCCACTTCTGCTGCTGCTGCTGCCACTAACGCACCCTGCCAACGCCGCAGGCAGACTCCCCGACAGCGACTCTGGCGCCGACCACGGACAGGGAGGGGCTCCCCGGTTTCTTCCCGTTACTACCCCTTCCACCATTCTTCTTGCTCGGTTCTTGTCAGACTGAGGCGAGGCCGAGAGATGGTTAGATCAGCCCCTGGAGAAAAGCTTGCTGAGTCATATTAAATTGAGATTCTCGACTTGCTTTAGCTGTGGCCACATTTCGCGGCACCTGTACCGACTCTTACCACTAAAGGCACGTCCGGTGTCGGCTCAGTGCTCAGCAGGCCCTTCCTGGACTCAATATTAGCTAGGTAATCAAATCCTCCATAGTCATGTTGCGTGCTAAAATAGCATTTGTGCGACTTGAACACAAGCACTTCTAGCGGGGGCCTGAATTAAATCCTAGGTTAATCACCGCGAGCGGTGATCTCTCAGTGATAGTGCTTGTCGTCAATAGTCATCTTTAACGTCCCTGAAAACACAGAGACGTGCATTAAGATTCCTTTGAGACTATGGAAAGACCAGACAGTCTCGATAAAGTTCTGGCAGTAAGAGTCTTTTAAAAGTTTCGTCCCCGTCTCAAGTCTGACCTAGAACCAGCTGCGTGCCCTGTTGTATACTTCCCTGTACACTCTGTCCAATCTCCCGTGTTCTTCGTGTGGGCACCTCGAGGTGTGCGCAGATGTTGTCGCGGCCGCATCTCACCAGGCACCCGCGGTCGCTTGCCCCTCGCAGGCGCCAGCGGAGGCGGTAGCAGCTCGGGCAGCGGCGCGAGTTCTCGCCGTGAACTGTCGCTGCCTTTCGCGTCCCTCGACCAATCCACGGCGCCGTACTTCTGGAACGGCAGCCAGGCGCTCGCAGCGGGGCCGCGGTCTGACATCTCGGCGTTCGGAGGTGAGCGGCGACGCGCCGCGCCTCGACGACGTTACCTAACATTGTGTGTGGTCCAGCTTACTAAGAGTATAATAAACTCGCCATTAAACGCCGAGACCTAACAGACCAAGGGCCGAGATAGCGATGCCGCCTTGATGCAACAACCACTCGTGAGTGACGATCTCACCTATAACCGGATTTCGCGATCAGTCAAGCTCAACAACCTGTTCGAGCCGCTTCGCTTCGGCTAAGCTAGACATCACGCCCAAATCTTGTTATAGCGTTTGGTTATGTCTATAAATATTGAAATTGCACGCTTGCTTCTTGCACAAGCAGAGGGTGCGCAAAACAACCTGTACGCTAAAGATATACCGTTCATAATCATCATCACATTCCTATGTGCCACTCGCCTCAAGGTCGATGAAGAGGGGGACGGGTTGCCTCCTGCTTGCGTCATGTTGGCTGCGGTAGTCCCCGATCACTTTGTTCGTGTAAATAGTGTAAATACGCCAGTCTTTTGTCATATCCCCGTAACTGCATGGCCCCTTGCTACGATCATTTCTTTTTTTTTCATCTCCAGCTTCTGTCCCCGTGGCGACGGCGAGTGGAATCGCAGATAGCGGCGCATACGTTGAACTTGTCAGCTGCCGGTTGCGTAAAGGTGAGCTCTGTTTCACCAGGAGCGAATGTTGTATACGGTTATATACGATATCAACAAACTCGACATCGAGAACTTCTCACTCGTCCATTTCGCAGATCTCTTCTTTTGGGGACACTTCAAAGGCATCACTGCTAACAGGAACCCACACATCCAGATGCAGTCTCTCATGTGACTCTCCCGTTTCGCGCACTCATGACTTCCGTTTGGAGCAAGACGTCGTCGCCAGAGGGCAGTAATGCCGGTTTCAATTCACCCAGGGCTCTCCTTTACGCTGGGCGTAGCCACGCGTCTTTTGTACGGAGGCCAGTGCACCCTTATCCGCGCGACGACTGTGTGAATGGCGCATTTCTCTACCGCGTCTCATTCAGGGCAGGCGAGCGAACTTTATATCTTTTTTTTTTCCACAGTGGCCGCCGCTTAACACGCGATCTCGAGATGCTATCTCTTTCCTATATCGCCGCTTCTCAGTGCGGCACGTTTGTACGTATGCACACGAGAAGCCGGCACCCTTGGCTTCGCCCACGCCCCTCCAAAGCTCTCTCTTTTTCTCCCCTTTCGGTCGAGATGGTCCGTTCACGACGGCGTTGCCGGCCATTTTTGTGATTGGGTAGCCCGCCTGCCTCTTTCTAATGCCACTTCTTTTACATTTTGTTGTCTTTTTCATCACTATTCAATGACTTTTTTTTTTTTTTTGCGGCGTTATATCCCATCCCTTGTGGGCCCTTTTCGGGCATGCTCGTGCGATGATGCCGTTGGTGTACGGTGAGTTTCCATTCACCCGGTGGTTGTAGGAGAGGTATGAGGTGGTGGTGAGCATGATGGATCCCAGGGAGGCGTCGGCGCAGCCTGCGGCACCCAGCGGTCCATTTTCTCTTTGCCCGTTCGCGTGTTGCTGCTGCTGCTGCTGCTACTCCGTCAACGACTGCATCCGTTTCTTTAGGCCCTGGTATAGTTTCTTCCTGCAAGATGCATACGTGCAATGATTCTTTTCTCCAGTCTGGCCAGTGGTTATTACACCGCGAGGGTGGCCACCGTGCTGCCGCTACCCATTCTTGCAGCGTCTGTCCAGGAAGTGCGTGTCATGTGTTGAGGAACTTGCAGCGACGGTTGGGCCCGAGTGCGCTTTGAAGCTTCTGTGTGAAGATCGCTCAAAGATCGTTTTGAAAAAAAGCTACGATGCATTACGATAGCAGACCATACAAGTTGTTGAAGACTTACAGACCCGACAACACGGCCTTCAGCTAAATTAGCAATGACCACCAATTCGTTAAGCTGACGTTCTGAAAAAAAATAGTGTTGCACAAACCAAAGGCTTTGAGGGTGCAATGCCGATCGTCACTGATCGATTTCTGGTTTCTTGGTATAAAGAACACCTCTTGCAACGGGACGTAACAATAACATGAAGAGCCAATGGTTTGCATAGAATCGATTAATCTGTTCAGCTCAGTAGTTGGAATAGCTCAAATTTCGTTACATATTTACGCGGAATGTCTCGCAGTGACGTACTTGGTATCTTACGGCAGTCAGAACAATGCCAATTTTCAGCGCTTCCGACTTCAATCCGCTGATACGTTCCCAATCGCATTCCCTTCCTATATATTGTGTGATCGCCTGATACGTTCCCAGTCACATTTGCTTTCTGTTGGCAGTTCCACCGTACAGAGGCATTCCGTGAGCCCTTCAAAAGCCGGGAACAAGGGAACCTGCACCACCACGGCCAAGTGGAGGGGCAATAACTTTCGCAAACACCACGACAATCAGATCCCCGTATAGGAGCAGCAGCAGCAGCAATAATCGGGCACAGAACGTACGTATACACTCCTCGCGCCTGTGCCCGCACGCTTACGTAACGAGCCCGGAACAATTTCTCCCAAAACACGGGGCGCGCAAAGCACACAAAGGGAGAGCGCCACTCATCTGCACGCGCATTACAGGCCTCGATCATGACGCGAGGGCAAACTATCGCCGCCGACGCCACCCTCTCTGTTTTCCCTTCCTCTACTCCTTACACGAGGGAAGGGGAGCGGGGGATGTTAAGCGTTACGACCGCACAGTTCGCGCGCAGCCTATGCGGTACGATGCTGCGCCCAACAGGCTCGTACACCGCGTTCACCAACGTCGCAGCCGGCCGACGATGAGAGCAGCAGCATCGGCGGTTAAAATAAACAACGCAGCGAAGATCACGCCGTTTCACTGGGTATGCCCCCTTCCCCCTTTCTTTCTTTCCTAAATCATACGTATCAAGAGCGAGAGAGAAGGCGGATTGGTTTGGTGAGATGAGGGGGGCGGGAGGGGTGACTTCTCACGGCGTGGTGTTGGGTGGAGAAGGAAGGGGCATCGCAAACCAGAGGCGATGATGGACCCAGTGCGACCCTGGCTTTGGCCTGACCTCGTAATTGCAGGTTGCCGCAACAACAGTTCGTCTATACGACTGGAGAGAGAATATATGGAGGGGAAGAGAGGTTGAAGAAGCGTACGCACGCGTAACTGCTTTGCTCGATAGGAAAGAGGTTGCGGAGGTGCGGGGGGGTGGAAGCAGCTCGTTTTGCCCGCGACGTCGTTCGTGCCGCTCGTACGAGGAGCGAAAAGGCTCATTTGCAGCGTTGCTGCGGCGAAACACCCCACAGACTGGGCCGGGAGCTCGATGCTTTCTCCCTCTCTCTCTCATGGGATCGTGATGCTCTCTCGCTCCCGTCGGACCGAACACCCGGGCACGTTTGCAGAGCGGCTCATAGTCGACGCAGCCGCGTGCTCGTTGGTTGCTCTGCACGCTTCTACGCTGGCGAGAAAAGAAAAACAAAAAGAAAGAAACTGGCATGCCTCCTCTTGCGTGGTGCTGAAGCGGGCGTCGATGGGGCGCGCGCGCGGTTTGAAGGGAGATCCGGTTGAAGAGCGTTCCGACGACGATGTCCGCGGCTTGCTCTTAGACCAGCGTGGCGGGCGCGGAGTATCACCTCGATTTCACGCGACTCCTTGGAACGACCATGTGTGCGCTAGCTATTTAGGTGCTCTGGTGGCTTAAAGTACTCGGCTGCTGACCCGCAGGTCGCAGGATCGAATCCCGGTAGCGGCGGTTGCATTTTCGATGGAGGCAGATATTCTGTAGGCCCGCGTGCTCAGATTTGGGTGCACGTACGTTAAAAAACCCCAGGTGCTCGAAATTTCCGGAGCCCTCCACTACGGCGTCTCTCATAATCGTATGATGGTTTTGGGACGTTGAACCCCACATATCAATCAATCATTGGCTATTTCTAGAAGTGGCGCGGGAGATCGACAAGTTCTTCGAAGTGCTCTAGAACACAGTGGACATACGCGTTCAAGCATTGAATAGCTTAAGTA